TTTTTTCAAAAACAGAATTACTCAGTTATATAACAGTTCTTATCCAATATATTCTTGTGTTGTCGAAATGAAAATGTCATTGAAATCCTCCATGCCAGGAATGACATAGATCACGTGACATTCCTTTGTCATCACGTGTTAATGTCAACGCTGACGTTATCACTAGATTGTTGCTGTTACTGGCTATTTTTACTCGAGAAACAACTTAGTCTGGCTCGACTTATCTTCATTGTTACATACACATCTCACATCATTGCGTCAGAATATATTCTTTAATTAATACATATTACACATTTATGGTACCAAATTTAAGTTTATCTATACAACATCAGTACAGTATAAGAATCAACTCGAGGATTTCAGTATGTTTTAATCATAAATGCATGAAATGGTTTGTTTTGTACACATGTTTCTGAATCAGCATAAAGGATTTTTACATTTTCATTATGCATATAGAAAGGTATGTTTTCATGTAATGTTCTTTATATATTTAACATCTTAATCATGCAGGCGTATAAACGAAGGTTTGTTTTGTGCGTTGGCAGAAATATATATATTTACTTAAAACTCTTAGCAACGTGTTTTGTATACTTTATATATACATCATTGCACACAATTATCTTATTCGCGTTTATTTGTGGAAATATCATTTGGTTTGAACTTTTTTATTGTTTTTATTATAATTTTCTCGTGTTATCACCAGAAATTGATTTTGTGTGTTAGGTTTTTGTTACCTGTTGTAAAGTGTTTGCTACTAAAATTTACAGTTAATCCATAATCACCATGTGCTTCTTTCTATAAAATTAAAGTGTATAGAAAATACTGGTATAGATTGCGTTCGTGATTTTCTGAACTGATATACATTACTAAGCTATAAATCATGAGCACACTATGGTTCACACCAATAAATAATATGTTGTTGATTAGTAGAAGTATTTGACTCTTTTATGCACATCAGATATATCGGATTTTTGTTTCAGTATAAAGTTGTATAATTTTACATGGTATGAAATATAATATCATTCCAATACTCTTATGTTGTGTGGTTTGGTTTTTAATAAGTAGTAATAAAGAATTAATTTAATTATTGTGTATAAATATCAAATGTCTGTGCTGTGTTTCTGTTTACCTGTAATGAATACAAGGATATAGAGGTAAGATAAACATTTTAAATGTTCGGTGTTTACAAACATCAGCGGTAAATGTGGTAAACGTACTTATGACGTATTTTTTTAAAGTTATTGCATAAAAGTATACTATATGTATAATTAATATTGTTATGTATTATTAATTGATAAAAAAAAAATCTGAGTTGTACTTGCTCGTAATGGAGTTGTTAATTTTCATTGCATATTACCTAAATATATAAGATGTCTTGTTTGTTTTACCTATCTAATTCCTACTTCTTAATACATCTACAATTTATTGAATGTAAAGAGTGTTATTAAGTATTTTGTGTAGTAATCCTGATGAATTTTTCTGATACTTGTATATTAAACGTTTTGTTATGTTAAATGTATATTGCTATAACTATGCTTTTATTCTTTGCATATACAATATATTGAGAAATATAATGTTTTATTTCAGAACATCGGTATGTTAAAAGATATTGTTTTAATACCATAATTGACTCCTATAATGTTGTATATGATGAGAACCAGAATAAGATGATATCAGATCTAGAAAAGAAGCATACCGGTAGTTCAAATAGCCGTATTGTTTTCTGGTTATGTTAACTGATAACTTTAAACGTGTTGAAAGTTAAAGTATCGATTGATTTTACAGGCACAAAAGATAAGGGAATTTCCCTACCGGATAACATTTTTTAACTTACAATGATATATACAGGAGTCAAAGTACAAATAATTTCATTGACGTAGTCACTTGTGTAGGATCCGGCGTATGGGATGGCAAGAAAAGACAAAAAATATCAAAAGTGCGTTTTATGTTTTCAAAGTTTTTTTCGTGATAATTTTGTATAAATTTTATTGTTGACTTTCATTCATGTAGATAATTGGTATCAGGTTTTTTTAATAGTTGTGTATACCTTTAAATTATAATAATGATTTTAATGTTTCATCCTTGCAAAATAAAGTAGAATTTTCTTATTCAATGCATATCATATCGTCGGTTTTGCAATGTATACTATTAGGTATGATATTTAAGGTTTTATGTTGTTGCCAGTTAATTAATATTTCGTTGTGTTTATTGTAATTGAAAAATAGACAAATTCATTATACAAGTATTTTTTTCACAGATATGTATTGCTTTTACTTTAAGATTAATATAATGATATCGTTGTTGTCAGTGCATCATTATGTCGACTGATTGTTAACTCGTCATTGTATACAAAAAACACTGCGTCAATAAGATCAAATGTTAATAAGGTATATTCATACATTAAATATTTAGTTTGTAGTTTACATTTTTTATGTAGATAAATATTCTTTCGGTGTGCTTTACTATATCATGTGTTATGCTTCTTGTCTATGTGTGTGTAATATTGTCTGGAATATGTGTGTAATATTGTCTATAGGATATGTGTAATATTGTCTACAGAACATGCGTGTGATATTGCCTATACAATATGTGTGTAATATTGTCTACAGAACATGCGTGTGATATTGTCTATACAATATGTGTGTGTGATGATTGTCTATACAATATGTGTGTAATATTGTCTACAGAACACGTGTGATATTGTCTATACAATATGTGTGTAATACTACAGTCGTGTGATATTGTCTATACAATATGTGTGTAATATTGTCTACAGAACATGTCTATACAATACGTGTGATATTGTCTATACAATATGTGTGTAATATTGTCTACAGAACATGCGTGTGATATTGTCTATACAATATGTGTGTAATATTGTCTACAGAACATGCGTGTGATATTGTCTATACAATATGTGTGTAATATTGTCTACAGAACATGCGTGTGATATTGTCTGGAATATGTGTGTAATATTGTCTATAGGATATGTGTAATATTGTCTATAGAATATGTGTATAATATTGCCTATAGGATATGTGTAATATTGTCTGGAATATGTGTGTAATATTAATATAAAAATATATAGTATTTTTTATATGTTAATACAAGATTGTATTCATTTTGTGGTGTATTGTAGTAACAGCAACGTTTGTAAGTTTATGATATATAAATATGGTTGTTTCCTATAAATATGGTAAAGTATATGTTTAAGTATAAGTTCTTTTGCGTCGTTCGAATATTTATCGGTTTCAGTTACTGATTGTTAATGATACTAATTAATTATTTTGCTGTACATATTTATTGGTATTTATGATCTGAACCAACCTTTGGCATTTTAGCCGTTATAACCTTGATCAAATTTTAGTTTTTTATGATAAATTGCATCAGTTTTTGTTTGCTTATTAATGAACTATCAATCTTTACTCATTAATAAAGATTCTGTTAAATATTTTCATGGTGATAATTATTTCATCAAATATCAGTAAGACGATTTTTGTTCTGCATTAAGTTTGCGTATACAGTTAGTTTGAAGGGTTCTGTTCTCCTCTAAATAAAATGTATATTTTTTAACCATACGAATATTCAATTAGTGAAATAAAAATTTGGAATTCAAATAACAGTTTTAATCAAATTTCCCTTTCAGATTGGTTAAGTTTGAACTTTATTTTATTGAAGTGTATTGTAATAAGATACATAATACAGTTGATAAAAGGATTCTGAAACAAGTATTTGCGTTGCGTCCTAACACGGAATTATTCTGATAATCATTGACATGAAAAAGATCTTATTTTACGCCAAAGAATATGAATTTCAATCTTTTCGTATATTTCAATATTACGAAATATAATTATTAAATAAAAATCATTATAATTTTAAAAAATCAAGCATAAATATTTGTGGTATAAATTCATGAATGCAGTTTAATTTTTGTAAATCTTATTTTACTGATGCGTCCTTTACATCTATATAAGATATTATTTTGTTAATTGTCTATTATTGTATTTATATATTCTATAATGTTTTACCTATCATGATCTTTCTACATTCTGTAATGTAACATTCTAACAAAACTTCATAGATCAAATAACGACGGCAGCATTTAACAGAGTCAACGTAAAGACCAAATATAATGTATACTTAAAGGTCCATGGATTGCATTGATTACAAAGTAAAAACAAGCACAAATACAAAAACATATTTTCAAATACATTTTATTGTATTTCTTAATACGTTTTGCAGAAAATGAAATATTTGTAACATTTGTTGGCAACAGGTAGAACAAGCACACGTAGAGGTAACAAGACAAGGAATTAGTAGTGATGGCCCAAACCAGAGCAGACCAGGAATGAGGTCGGAAAATCTATAAGAAATATTTTTTACGCGCCTTTTTTTCATAAAACACCGAAATTTAAATAGGTTCACACATTAATGAAAGTTTATTTTCATTTTAAAGCATATGAAAATTTTCTAATTTCAGAACAGTTGTTTACTCCTTTTTAAATTGAAATTAGAATGTATTGGTAAAAATACGATAAGCATAAACACTGAAAACTAAAACAGTTAAATATAAATATTTAGAAGTAAATATTCAATGCAACTGTTTAAGCATCAGCTTAAATGTGATATTTGTTAACAACACTTTGCACACATTTCTAGTCCAACAAAACAACAAAATGATTTTGAGAAAGAAGTTTGAGAACAAACATAAAACATAAAGAACGAAACAAGATACGTCTGAGATCAAAGTAAAATATCATATACTCGTGTAACAAAAGAATACAGTGAAAGACAAACAATACAATTAGAACGATATACCTGAGAAAAGACGAATGACCTCACGGTCCACCAACCAATCAGACGTCAAAGGAGAAAGTGGGTTTAAAATATAGTTCTAAACACACATCTCCTTTATCGGTAACTGCACTGCTCCCATATAATTGAAATTACTATTGAAGTATAATAATATTGCGTATCTCTTAATCTGTCGCAACACAAAACATGTTAAACATAATAATAACATTAATCAAATTACATTTTAATATCTAACTGTATAAAATAAATTAACTGACTCTGTGTAGCCTAGCAGCTCTAACTCAGCTACTAACGGTTGTGGAATTCACTTGCACTATTGTACAGCACACATTTGCAGACAAAATCGTTTCCATGGAAACAGCACTACTTTCTGTACATTGCAAGAGTCTGAACGACACAGTCCTTGAATGCACCCGCGGTATGGAACAGATTAATTCAAACAGTACTAGTGTTGAGTCCATAGAGTGAAACCATGAAACATGATCTACTCGTGTCCATTGTAATCCACTCACTGATATGCTGTAAATCCTACTGGTAACTACCAGCCTTCAGCCATCCGATTGTCCGGCACTCGCCGTTATTTGATGTGGTACCGCATGAACCCAGGATAATCGGCGTAAACATGACCATGGTCAGAGTAAGGGTCGGTGCTACTCACCATTGTCACCACCAAACCTTTCAATTAGCACTGCCTATAGACTGCCTCTCGCGATTGGCCAGCCGTTTCCTTTCCAAACCATTAAGCATCCGTTCGATGCTTTTGAGTTCACTGTTTGGATTTGCTATTGGAGAAATGTGGCGAGGCATGCGTGAAGACAACGGACTACGTGGCCGTATAGGTGAAGGTCGAGTGATCCCGACACTGGATGAATGGGGTGGAGAGTGAGCACTGATATGGAGGCCCGACGCCGCACCTGGCGACGCACTCGTTGCTATGGTAGTGTTTGTGGTAGGTAGAGAGTAAGGGGTAAATCGAGGGCTACTCCTTGATGGAAAGATTGGTCCTAAAGATGAGGGCGGAGACAGTGCACTATCAGCGTTCATTGACGGACTCAGACTAGAATAATTCGATTGCAACAATGGATGACCAGGAAACGGAAGTTGACCTAACGCAGATAACGCATGCGCACTTGGATGCGTATGAGGTAAACTACTACTAAGGTCCGTGTGTCCTGAGGTAGGAAGAAATGGCAGTGCTGTCGGAAGTGACGTATTTCCCGAAAACAAATGACTCATGGGATATGGTAATGAGGATGCTGATGTGTTGTACGGATACAGGTATGGAAATATTGGATGTGTCACAGATGGTTGGATGACTGTGACATTTGGAGGACTGGTGTGATCTTTGGTCGCAAAATGACTATGTTCTTGGAAAGACCTCTCTGGGGACTTCGAAACGCGTCCTTGAGAGCCGTGAGGAGATCGATCCTGTTCTGACTGGGGAGGAGAAAGTCTTTCTTCTGTCGGGAATTTCTCAGATGATATTTCACGGTCACGTGATGAGTCGCATTGAGCGTCCCGTGATTCGGCGAGAGTTGAATGTTCTTCACGCCGTAAAAAGAAGTCTTTTGGTTGTGTATGAACAAGTGACGTGTCAACTGGTTCCGGCGATGACGTCGGTGTTGTTCGAGTTTCCAAACTTTTGGATTCCTGAATAGACGCAGCAGTTGATTCATGGTCACTACCAGTGTCCGATTCCAGTACAGGGGATGGCGAAGGACGCTCGAGAGCCTGTCGTGTCAGTGTCTCTTCAGCCCTAAGTCGTTGAGCTTCTGAAATACACAAGTTTTATTTTGTTTAATAACTCAATCCAAACATCATGTAAAGTGTGTTCATTTTGAATCTAATTTCGTTTTACGACCTTTAATTGATTTTCTGCTACTTGTTCCATTGTTAAAGTGTTAAAGTTCAGAGCAGAAGATTAGCGAGTAAGGTGGTCTGTCTACATCATACTGTAACACCTCACAAACACTCTTCACTGTTTACCTCCGTCTCACACCTCTTGTCAGTCTTACAAGAATAGACGTCACCGCCTTTCACGTAAACTCAATTATTGTCTGAGACTGTCTATATAGACATAGTTAAATGAGTTGACAAAGCAAGTGCCATCCGTTGACAATGTGTATTAAGAGGTGGTATTCTTTGTATTATACAGCCCCGTGCAGTCGCCTTTCTCCCGCCGACACCTACAGTGAGCAATGCGTCAGTTTATTTCAAAAGACGCTTTATCAAAAGATGAAATGTGAAAAAAATACAATTTTTAATGATTCCGTTAGATGCCGCTTCGGGGTTTTATAATTTCTGTATTGAAATGTTTGAATAAAGTAATTTCTGGTGTGATCGTTATCAACTGACATGGGACACCATTTCTTTAGCGGTATGTTTACACGGACGATTTTATCTTTTTAATGTCTTTATATATGAAAGTAGAAATGTCTTTATTGCAATTCATCATTTTAAAGTTTAAGTCTGATAGGTGAGATGTCTGACGATAAGTGAAACAACCGTAGGTTTTGTATATTTGTCTGAAGATTAACAACCTTAAAATTAATTAAACCCTGTCGGACTCACTGTTGTCCAACTGCTTTGATGACTTTTTGTTCTGGGATTGATCTCTCACTATGACAACATTGAAATGTTGATAGGGAGGTTCACAGAACGACACATTCCTATATAGACGTTGGTCAGAGGTTAACAGCCGTTACATCACATTTGACGCGATAGGTCGAGAAATCTAACACCATTGTTGTTGTTTACTTTCTTATCCTCGTTTGTACAAATACTCTGATAAAATTTGAATCGTTTCCGACATTCTAGCCCTCTGAAAACAGTGTTTGTACGATTTAAGTAAAATTGGTTCATAATTATCATCGATTAAAGGATCTGTCAAGTTTTCGTTAAATATCCAATGTTATCTAAATTAGCCGAGTTCTTTTAGCGGGTCGTGATTAGGTGTGATAAGATTTCTACAAGTTTGACAGAGTTATGATAAAATGTAAGTAATCCCTAGCTCACCTAACCGGACACAAACAAACCAAACTATCAGGCCAGTCATTATCACCAACATTATCCCCTTATATCGAGCATAAACACTTACGTAAAACAACTTGGTAGCCCGACATATCACGATCTCTACTCCACCTAACGCCTAATCCTATTTTCAGGTTTATGGGATACTTACCGTTACTCAAACGGCAAGTTGAATCATCAGCTGAAAGCCCATTCCAAAAGTAAGAGCCACGAAGACGTGTACTAACTACAAATTACCCTAATAATAATAAACATAATATCTACACAAAGGGTTTTAATTAAAGAGTTTTATGTTTGGAATTTGGTAAATATGACAAATGTTTTCCTATGGCAACGAAAATCAAAATGAAAGAAAATCAATTATATTTTTTATTTATAACAATAAGCAAGATTCATGTCTTTTTACCTAAAATCATCCCAATATATATAATTTCTATTGCAATGTTTTTCCAACTGGTATATATTTATCTTTTATAAACCAAATATTTCTATCACATAATGACTGTAATTAGGTAAACAAACCCGTTTATCGCCAAAAATAAATAAACATAATTTCAGTAAAGAGCACTATCTCGCTGTGATCTGGTGATAGGCCCTACTTTGACGCCGTGGAGTAATTTGTGACTGCAGCGGCAGGGACACAGGGTCTATCGAAATTGAAGTGTACGGCACAGGAATAGTAATAGAGTTGGAACTCTAAGTTGTTATCGTGTTGTCAAAAAGTGTCGGAGCCTGACAGAGGTAGACAGGACTGTCATGATAAGCACGCCATTCACCACACATATTGCCTTCACTGCGCACGTCAAGTGCGAACGCGGAAGAACATCCGCCTAGACTAAATACTCCCCTAAATGCCGGGACTATTTACTGTGATAGATATGGGAATTCCTATGCCGACGGTGGGTGCAAGTTTTCGCGACAGTTCCTACGATCTCTGGTGAATGTCAGTTATAAGTAGATGCGATGGGGTTACGTGATCAGTGGCGAGTATAATTAAAAGTATAGGTATCAACATTGGCGGGTCGCACTGTCAACAAGTGAACGACTTTCTCTCTAGATGTATATCTTTTCAATTGCCCATAATTGTCGCCCTGCGTATCTGCTCCGTCAGGGCTTTATCTCTTAACAACATTTCGGCTCCATACCGAAATTACAATTACGTTAGGGTTAACGCAGAAACACTTTCACGACTGATACACTGCACACTTGTCGGCGACGCCAGACAGAGCGGGTTATCTGAGTGTCTTTTAAACCCGTCATGTCCCGGGGCCCCGGGGTCAGAGGCCACACTCTCATACACATGGAATTACGGAACTGATCTCCAATAATTCTCATTATTGCTTACATAACAAAATATTGAATTCATCAAATAACACATTTTCTCGTTCAAATGTTATAAACCTACAGCCAGTGTGTGCTGGCTTATTTAGCAAAGAGCCTACCAAGCTCTAACAAGAACGAATTAAAACGCATTACATGATGATTTACAGGTGTAAGTCTACATTTGTGAGATTTCTCGAAAACAAAAAGACGACATTCCTTTGTAAAGAACGCGTCAATATGTTTACTTCCACCTCGTCACTCTAACCAGGATATACAATGTCAAAAAATATTTATGTTTATATTCACGAATGAACAGTATCTTTCATGAATATAAAAACCTTTAAGTAAATACAGCATTGCCTTTCTACAGTAGATTTAAATGCCGAACATTTGCAATTAAGGTTGATTTTGTGGTTTTCTTGAAAATTAAATGTTTTAAATTCGAATATAAAATTACTTTTTTTAAAATCAATCGTTAGGTGATTTAAGATATGTCATAAAACAAGTTTTCCTGGCAGTGTTGGGTATATAAAACACAATTTCATGCGACTCTTCATTTTCTTGTTCAACCAGTGAGGAATCTCCGGATCACAGTCCCTTAATGTTTGCACAATAAGACAAGTACTCAGCTCCACGCCTCAGAGAGGCGCCGCGAGTAATTCACGATCCACGCCCATATATTTACCGATTTACTTAAGGCAATGTGATCTGTTGAATGTATACATACCTTCTATGATTCGAGAGCTCATTGTGGGAACCGAATCCATATCGTCAAGTCCATCATCCGGATCGTCAACACAAATTTCCGCATCGTCCTCTTCCTCGCTGTGTACGTCGTCCCTGCGACCGTCCGGTGTCACTGCCGAGGGTTGCTGGGAAGATTGTAACATCAAACGTCTGAAAATAACCACGTTAAATCATTGTTAAGAGCAATTGGTTTACATAGGGAAGGTCGCGGTGAAATGAAGGGTTTGAACTGTTTTCTTTGGTCTTAGCATTTGATTGAAAAGTTTTACACTAAAACTAAAATGGTTGTAAATAAAGCTAGACTTTCGACGAGACATTACATTGAGGGTCCTTTGGTAGCAATTTTCTGGCTAGCAACCGAGCTAGTTAGAGAGGGTGGCCTTTGTAAAGAGATAAACTCACACAAACTTTGGCACCCCTCGTGACGCTCTGGCCATATTGCCTATGCCCAGTCGCCACCAAAACAAAGTTTGATAGTCCTTGTAATCCCAGTAACTATTTCTAACATTTCCCTATTACACGGGGCACATGTCCCGGTGGGTAACGACGAACCGGACTCTACGCTATGTCAGCCCTCCTCTCCCCATTCACACACAGTTGAGTAATGGTAGTGGCACGAGTCATCCGTCAGTTCTCAGGTCCTTATCGAATCCTTTGTACCCAATATGTCTATTGGAAGACGTGAAACTGCCTGGAGCACTTGTAGAAAGGGTTTGACGGGAGTCATAATAATGGCCATTATCAATCTACTTTCTTGGTTTGGTGGAATGCTACGCTTTATGTTGTAGGGATAAAACACACTTATAATTTTATAAAGATATTAATAAAACTTTTTTAGGAATTTTGATTTACTACATAAAAATGACGCCATGTGATTGTGTTCTGTTCGATTAAAAAAACTCACTATTTTGATCACAGGTGGATCGTTTCATCGTTTTATGGTCGTAACATTGAAACGTGATGAAGTATGATACATTGTCTGCGTTATATTGGCGACACCTTAAACCCCTACATACTGTAGGGTCTCTATTACAGGTAACATGGCGAGGAGTGTCTTCGCCAGCCCGGAGTAAGACGTTAACAGGAACAGAATACTTTATTGTGGTAAGTTACAGGTATAATTAACCGGGTAGGTCAGGTATGGAACAGAGGTGGTCGGTCTTTATTAGAGAGGACTGTAGCTGTCGTTCAAAGGTCCAGAGTATCCGTTACAGTGCTTTAGCCTGGAGCTTAACATCAGTCTCCATCAAATGCATGTCGTCCAGTGTACAATAAGGTGTGAGCAGGTATACAATAACTGACAACCACGGCGTCAAATTGAATTGTCACACAAGTTTGTGGTTTGTTTACCCTACCCGTGTCAGTATTAAGAAAACAGACGAATTAGTGTGAAACCTCTCTCGTACCTACCCTCTCATGCACAAATTAACTCAAGTGTGGTCCCATCCCCGAGATGTGCCTCCGGTAATATTGACAAATCAATTCAATGTGTGGTCTGCTATTGATAGTGTCCTTTTATGGGTCTGGTTACTCTAGCGTTACATGTCCTTACGTACGGTGATTAAAAAGGTGGGTTCAAAGGTGACTTACTTTTTCTCTCTCTTTCCGCTTCCGGTATCTCGGAATCCTTTTGCGAACGGATTATGGTCGATTTTCAGTTGTGTTATCTGTAACATGGATATTCATGCATCTAAATCATTTTATTCTTATGCATATATACTTGATTTCTAATAAAACTATAAAAAAAAGTTAATAAGAATGTCAAACAAAATAAAATGAGTTGGTAGTGTTGTTCATAAAAGAGAAGTTGTATAATAAAATTACATTTTCTTTGTAGTTTTCAATTTTATTGTCCTGGTTGAAGAAAGGTGAACGACATTGTGTGTTTAACACAGTGATTTTAAATATGAAAATGTTATTCCTTTTTATATTGAATTTCGATAACTACCTTTTCGTTCTGGTAGGCTGTAACTGCAATATACTCTGTCTCCTTGAACACGTATGTCCTAAATGTGGAGTAGGGCAGTTTAAGGATGTCATTGGCACGTACCAAGTGGAAACGAGGCTGGTACTTATGCATGGAATTCAGAATTGTCTGAAAAATATTAAAATATAACAGGTTTGAGCAAAATATCGTGTAAAAATCATATGTGATTTACCGTGTAAATAGACTCATCTATATTTAAAGCAAGTCGATTAGACGGTAATGAGGGAAATTCATTTGCGGTGTGTTTCTAAATCAAATTTGTAAATCTCTGACCCCACCTTACATTTGTTGTCAGATTCTTTGTTAAGTACTAAATAATGTACATTTTCATTCCCGTGGGATCTATTAATAATTAAATTACTTGTGTCTGAAATTAATCAGGATAGTTTCCACGACAGTCGAAACAAATGCAGTTAATTAATAATTAATATATTATCCAACGGGACAGAAAAACCGTTTCCCAAGTTCACGTGGGTTTTTTCTAAAGTACAAATAACCTCACAAAAGTTACTAATAAAAGCGAGTGTTAAAACTGAGATTACAAGTATACACCTGAACAGGTAAAAAACATCTCGACATCAGCTCCTGAGATAAGGTATCGTACATCTATTACCAGATCTACATTCCTTTTGAACACCCTATTTATTAATTTAATTATTGAGGTGATGTGTTATGGAACAGAGAGTAAACAAAAGTAATCGTGCAGGTGTTTCGCGCTATAAGACTTGTGTGTGTAAATTAAATATTTTTTTAGTAGGCCTACCTGTGATCAAAAATTGAAATCATGCAGTCATGTTAGACATTAAATCTCAAAGATGTAAGAAATAAAACAAAATGTCTTGACTGAAGAAAACGAAATCAAAGTCTAATAGAGAGCCCATATACAATGACGGTTTTCAATTAGCAGTGGTTTGTGAGGTTGTGATTTGAGAGCGCCAGACAAGTTGTTATCTTGGCAGGTTATCGCTTACCCTATGCTGCGGGACAAGGCCAGGTTCTATGTTCAAAGGTGATGCAGTTTGCACCTGTGTTTCTTAATTAATTACATCACACATGTAGCCAGCTACGAACATATAATTAAGTGCCGCTACAAAATATTATCACAATCCATATGTACAATGGTCTTTGTCGTCAACGAGTGCCAATGCTGTTGGCAATATTTACAACAAGGCCTAGAGACTGTTTATTCTAAATTGTAGATTATTTGTCAGCCAAAGCCCCAAGGATCACACAGAACAGTGGTCAGAACTTTTTTATTTTTATTTGCATCCGAATGTTTTCTCTCATAAAGTACCTATCACTGATCGATCTAATTCAAATACAAATATGGCGATCTCGGTTGACAGATTCATTGTCGGCGACATGTAGACTAGGTAAGTAAAGAAAGTTATCAAGATTATGATAATTCAGAAATTTGTATACTGTCAAAAAAAGTTCTAAAAAATTTGTTTAAACATTATTCATATATGCCATAAAAAAATGCACGGATATTAACATGCATAAAAAAAAACGAAGTAATTTATAACTTCTTTTATTCCATTTTCGTCCAAATTAAGACTGAATGTTTTCACAAATATCTGTAGGAATTATTTCTTGATTTTTGCTTTCGTTTTTGTCCATATTTCTTTGCCATAAGACTAAGAATTCATTTCCTTTAAAGCTTTGATGAGAAACATATCAAAACAATTGTTACATCGATAAGTCTGCCAAACCTATAATTAACACATTATATATCCCCTTCACTGTTAACGCCTCGTAATAACACAACGACTGACCACAGACGTATTTGTGACAGGCCGTATTTTAGCCTGTTACCACGGATGCTGTTCAAAGTTTGCAACATGCACTTTCTAGTGGTAGTAATTAACGAGTTAGGCATATTTCTTAATGAAAGATCCAATCGTTTTGGGCGTTTCTGATGCTTATTCCACCAAAATATGTTTTCTTCACTCGTAATAAATGCATTGGATTGTAAAAAAACAAGACTGTTATATAAGTATATCATATTTGTCTAACCGCAATACATCATTTGGCGTGAAAAAATACACTGTACCTTCATTGGGACCTGTTTCTATTTGAAAACTAATAAAATTTTAATCGTTTACATAAGATTTAATTCTCACATTTTATCTCTATGTTCACGAACTTTTATATAGGTATCTAAGTCCGTGGTATGTCAAGAAAACCGTTTGTGACAGAAGAAATTGAAACCGTTTTAAAAATCTATATTTTTTAAAATTTATTTCATATTTTGTGTGTATTTTTACTGTCTTTTTATTCAGTCTAGTGTGAAGTTGCCGGTTGTCCGTATTGGTTCGACCGTCGTTGCACTTTTTTTTAGTCTCTCCCTCTTCACAATGCATGATTGCTGATTAAAGCTGACAATGCCCTGGGGCAAAAATTGGATAGGGCTGTCTGACAAAGGCTCGAGCTGAGGTTGAGCAATAGATGGGGCTATGATATACAGCCTTGGACCTAGGGGCCAAGCCTGAATAGCTTCAAACATGTATACATCATTTACCTAATAGTTATTTAATTTAAAAAGGCAAACTGTATTTCATTACTATCTTAATTGTTTCACAGATGACTTGAACAATTATCACTAATCAATAGTTTTCAAGACATTTTATGCATCAAAAACGTACAAGAAAATAACTGACTGTACAATGCATGTTTAAGTTGACTGTTCTTATTTTGCAAGAGCTGGCGAACAATTAGCCACTCGCCATGGCGCCGAAAGACTAAATGCGGCCAATCCACACTCAGAAGCACAGTACAGAACTGTTCTAAAGGGGGAGATGAAACGACGAGAGAACGAGGTCTAAATCAACCCTCAAACACCCAGACACCAGACGTTGTTTAATGTACAAGGATTCTGTCAAAAAAGTTCGTCAAAATACCATTTTGTTTCTCAGAATTAAAACAAAATATGATCTAAAGTAGAAATTCAATACCACCCCGTATCATATATCGTAAAGTTTAAATATGATCAAATTACTACAAAAAATATGTACTTTTATAAACAGATATTTTGATCAGTGTTTAATTAGTTGAATCTTATTTTTTGGATATTTTCGTATCAATTGATGATCTCATAAAACTCTCTTCAAACGGCAGTTAAAAAGCATGTTTGGTCCATTATTATCGAATTTTGCATTTGAAGCCGATTCAGTATACGACTTCAATGTAGAAGTTATTATGAAGGCCTGAAATTATTTTGGTGTGTGGTTCTAAACAGGTCTGAGTGTGTCTCCCAAAACCACTTCCTGTAAGGCTTCAACTCTTTCTTCTCGTATCTAGCTTACTGAAAGCTGCTAGAAAACGGTTTTAAAATGGAATGGTTCCATATTCTTGAGATGTTGTACGAGTGTTGTTGTTTGGTATTCCGACAATACTACCTAACAAGTAACAATACACATTCGATAACAGACTGAAAAATAATATTCACGGCATGATACCTGAAAATAACTGAACATTCGATTTCTGTCACAGTTAAATGAACATTCAGTATCTAGATTCAGACGGCTGAACATTGGATATCTGAAATTTATGGAGAAACGTTTCGTATTTCTTTTTTTTTTACGAATTTTATTTTTCTGTGAAATTACGAAGAACAGTTAGTTCATGAAACTGAAGTTATAAAATATCCTAATGGATTATCCTGAGATGCCTTCTCTAATTAGCATTCATTATATTTTGAACTGATGTGTACGAAATTGACGATAATTTAATATGAAATATTAAAAACGCGCCAATACTGTTCGTATTGATTCCAGCAGTAAAAATCCTGTTCATTGTTGGACTACGGCCATCTGCCTGGTCACTGGATATTCATAAGCAAGGACCACCCAACCAATGACTGGACGACTGACTTATTAGTGTTACTGTGGCCAATCTTGACCAGGGGCCACTCGCTGCTGGACAATAGGCAGTCATATTATCCCTATTGACAAGCGCAGTGATGCGGTCCCTCCCTCCCTATCAGGTGTCTACACAGAGTGCAGGTTTTGTAAAGTGGACAAATTACAGAACCTCTCCATGTCACCGGCGCGTCTCTTCAAGGTCTGGTCATTAAGACATAGAATTCATGTACTAAAATTCTATAGTTCTTCATAAATTTCTATCTGATATAAACCTTTTTATCCTTTTTTAACTTAAGATTCTACTAAGTGAAATACAGGAAAGTATTTTTTCTGTACAATGGTTTATATTAATGTATTTTATGCATAAATAACATAGGCACTTATAAAATGAATATCCTATTCATAGTTTTGAGATTTTGTACAAATCTATCCTGTGATAAAGGCTACATACAAATCTTTTGTTAGAATATTTTTTCCATTCCTGGATTACACATGGAACATTAATATATCACCGGTTTGTTTGTGAGAATATTTAATTAAAATACCTGTTATCAACTCATTAGTATCATAAATAATTTTATATGAATAGCCCAGGCCTTTATAATGAATTATATAGATCTAAATTATTGAAATAGAATATTATTCTACAGACCTTAATTGCCTGGTTAAAATTGGTCATTTTTATATCATAAACATATAAATGATTGGTTAAAAATTTCATTATATAAGTATAGATTATTTTGAAAATATAATTTTATCTGGCCTATATAAAATATAAATGTGGAATTTCATTCTTAAATTCGTACAAAGCATTTATTTCAAAAAGTATAAATGGGTATTTTCAACAAGAGTGTAAAATAGTCATAATAATATTTAAATTAAGGGATAGAATATTTCTAACTTTGTGTATATTAATTACAAAAGTGAAAAATAATGACTAAAACATTTACTCAATGATAAAAAATATTAATTTGAAGGTAGAAAGAAGAAAAAAACTCTATTTAAGTATTTTTAAAATACACCTTTTTTCCCTATCCACAATAAACTGTGCTAGTTGGATTTCAAGTACCTATTCGTCATGTTTATAAGTTTATCAATGAACATGTTTATTAACCTGCTTAGAGTATGGATATTTTACACCATTTTAAAGTGATAATATTTAATGTTAAACTTATTTATACAATGATAACAACATAAATTATGTCTAAATCTAAACTTCAGATTAAGTGTAATAAACTTCACTTAAATATTATTTACTGATATTTGAAAAATTTATAAAACTTAATTATTTTTATAGATTTTAACAAAAAGTCTAGGATTTAAATGTCTCTTTCTGCCTTATAAACCAACATGTACAGTTCACGGGAATGATTTCACTCACATGGAATGAGTGTAAATTCACCTAAAACAGCAAAAGAAAAAGATTCGTCTGCAGTTTTGCCTTAATCAACATAATTTTCATCTTTTAAAATCTAAAAATATAATATACGTCCCTTTTAATAATTGTTCAAAAAAGGGTTCTTTTTACGTTTCAATATTTTATTCCCTTTAATGTCCTTTATTTTTTAAATGAATTTTTATTTAAAGTTTAAATATATGGTATAAATTCTGCAAATAAGCTTTTTTAAATCTTATCCGAATGTAGAAGTGCCAAAACGATACGCTTTAATCATAATTGTTTTTTTTATTTTTCAGTTTTAAAAATTAGTTGAATTCATAAATGCAACTACAACTGACATCATTCTTGTTTAGAACCAGAAACGGATAACTTTGTAGTATTTGTTCTTTTTTTCAACCTTTATGTAATAATATCGAAAATGAAAGAATTTCCGGATACAAGTCGATGTACCACTGACACACATCCAGAGACGACTAAGCTCGCACACACGTGTGTGAGTTTGCGGGCGACTCAGCATTACGAATTTTGATATGAAATCTATAATTTAGATGTATGAATATATGTAGTATTAGTATTACATATAGAATATAGGCCTGTCACCCCGGAACCTGGCGTTATTTGACATAAGTCTAGCGACCTGTCCATCGTTAATCACACATTGTTCGGAAGTGTTGGTCACCAGTCTGGCTGGCGACTTTTCGGACAGATCTGACCAGTGGTCAGTGCCACCCTACTACATCAAAACACCTTCAGTCCTGAGATATGTCCGAGATGTCGGGTTTAGGACCTGACCCGTTCAGTTCTAAGGGCCACATCATTCCCTAGCATGCCAGTACACATACAGGTAAAGATGACAGCGCTGCTCAGGTGGAGTGTACATATGTTAATTACATTACAGGTATCCTAAATCAGAAAGTTATGTCATCCAAGACATGTCCCTGACATACGTATACACATGCCTACTAATTTAACCAGATCACTTGCCTAGGCTAAGAACACAGACGGTAAAAACTTCAGCCACGTCTGCTTTACTTGTATTTAAAAATTATGTTTTAAATTATCTTAAAACAAACAATTGTCATCACGTACTCATTTTCCCCCAAACTACGAAACTGGCAATTTTTTCTTTTCATAAAATTAAGAAAAAGACCGAGATTTCAGTACAATTCCATGACCAGTTTTACGGGTAGTGTGAATATTTGTTATAACACGGAATTAGCAAACATTCTAGATTTTCTGTGATCGATAAGTTATTATAACCATTTAATGTAGAAGATTGATGATTGTGACAATTATTATTGATATTCGTTTTTAAGATAATTCTTAATGAATCAAACAGTTTGCACATACAGCAGTGCTATATATAAAGTAATATGATCTGACGGTGTCCACTACAGTACTATATGTTTTTTACTATTGAGTACGTCAGGCCTCAGTCACCATATGTAATCTTTTACTTAGTTAATTGAATTATTCTGACACATATTCAGCATATTTCAAAAGCTTTTTATCGCCTGTTGGACAGAGATGTTATTGTTTCTCGGTGAATATTGAGGCCCAGCACGAGTCAATTGTGTACAATCACATAAGTTTGAAATTCTGTCACTTGAGCGACAACTCCGGCACCTACTCCAATGATAAACATCTTCAGAAACCTTTTGCTGGCTTTCTGTTCACAATTTCTTGTTTAAACCTAAAAATCCTTTCTTAATCTAAATTTGTTTTTTGCACGTAAGGAATTTCACATTTCTTTAACGGAATTTCTTAGGCGATGTTTACTGGCCTGTGCCCTGCCCTTCTTGTAATAAACATAAAATGTTTGTATGTATTCAACCCCTCACTAATTAGCATAGGTATCGCACTTAAACACAATCAAAGGGATATTTCAACAGACTTATTAAGATTGGTGTTTTTATATTTGTCGGGTTTATTCCCCGGAAGCTGTCTTGGGTAAGCTTAATTACATCATCACAGCTTGATAAGGTTCTATCTCCATTTTTTATCCTGGCAGTGTCTAAATTTCAAAGCCGGGCTATCCATTCCGGAAAAATTGTCACTCTCGATATGTGTAAATATGAATATTTTCTTTGATCCGGAAATAATTGGGACCAGATGCTCACATTAAAACAGTAACGGCGAGTAATTTGGGAAGAGAAGTGGAGAAAGTGCCCGTTTTCTGTTCGATCACGATCCGTTGGTGATAACGGCAATGCTGAGACAAAGACGGGAGGTTGATACCAGTATCGTCTCATCTCTACATTACACAACCCATCCCGCGGCGGACCGCATCAATTCCTTGTTACTGACATATTAAAACTAATTTTCCGGCAATATGAGATAAAAAAAATCTTCTTATTTAATTCTAACACATCACTCTAAATGAAATCTCGCGTTGATCATTAGTGGTGGAACTGTTTACACGAGCCTTGGTGAAGTGTAAAACGGTTGCGACTGGTGCCAGATGCAGCTGTTTGTTGCCTTTATCAATGACCTAACGCCAATAATTACATTACATGTATTGTTGTGCGTGCTATACCCCCTCCGGTGGCCTCATTGTTGTAATTGCGGACACTGCGACACCTCAATCCGCAGTCCGACTCCATCACTACAGTGACCAGTGCTCGATTTCTTCGCGCCCTAGCACGCAACATCACAACGGAACACATGTTCTGTTCACACCACGCCGAGAGATATATGCAGATTCCTATTGATTTTAAGATGTAGTTAATTATCTTTCTTTTGAATTATAATTAGTTGCGGGCAGGTGGGCGATGTTTTCTGGCGAGCGGACATGAATATTCAGTAAATTCAGAGACAAATCTAGCTAATCAGGAGCGATCTACGTGTTCGGTGGCACCCTCTCAATCACCGACCCCCTAACGTATCACACAACATCTCCACACAATCATTCCGGTTTTTGAAATAAACTAGTGAAAATTACATTATGATACTGACATAATAATGGATAGTTATAAATAGAGCGGATACGTGATAAGTCTTTCACAAGATAATGAAATTACTTTAATTCTAACAACACTGGGGCATTTTATTGACGTCAAACTTTTCTAGAGTGAAATTAATAATGAAAATTATGGTCAACTGTACACAACACGAAATTTTAAACCTCGTCAACTCTGCTCTTTACGGAACATAAACATTATAACTGTTCGACTGGACACGGAACACGGTTCTAGATAGCATACCTTGGCTGTTGTTTGTTCTACGTATTTTTCGCACGAATACTGAGAAACGCTACTTGACTAGGGTGTTGTTGATGAGGCTGGCGTGTGATGGCCAGTTTGATGACTGGGTGAACGCTTTGAAGTGCAGTTATCCGAGTTTGCATCAGACCAATCTCGGGTTCTATCAAGCGGTCTAAAGTGTTACATGGCTAGCATGTAGGACTAAATTCGCTTAGTATTTTTTTCTGCACGGTACTCCTACCTATTTGTTACTAAGGGTCTTTTTGTCCTCGGTTACAAAGGCAGGTTTGGAGTACACGCGACTTACGAGGAAAGCGATGTACGGATTTTTGATTGCCGTTAAAAGCCTAACCTGGCCTCTGCACCATCTGCACCATTCAGTCATTCTCGGGCGTTATCTAACGAGGGGCCTTAATTGGTCTACGAGAACTATCATACTCCACTGACATAAAGAGTTACTAATTGCCTTTAAAACATTAACGGTATTGCACTCGAGTCAATTGATTCAAGTGTGTAACCCAGTAAAGTATTTTTTCCGATTTAATAATTTGAGTAAAAAATATCATATGATTTAATTTAAACAGAAATATCCATATATATTTTTTTTATCACAATTCAAAATTTTGATATGTCGTTACTAATCCGTATGAGTTCAGGTGTCACACATTAATGAATATTCCATCTATAACACTTAATTAATAAAGAGTATTAAGATTGACTTACTGTACTTACAAACCCATGTTTGTCGGATATGTTGTTGCTGAGTTTGAGTTTGTGAAAGGAGACGACTTTTTGCATCCATTGTTCACCGGTGCTGGGAGAGTCGGGATGGATGTACATCCGTTTTGGCATTTCCGGATCCGCTTTGCCGGCCACCATCCAGCGTGAGTTATGAAACTTGTAGCGACAATCATCTACCGCCGAGATGTCCATCAGTAAGATGTATTTGGCTCGTTTGTCCAAGCCAGATACACGTACTTTAAAAGGAGGAAACATCCGCCTAAAAATGAAAAAAAAATATATATTGTCCTGAGAATTTGCCAGGTAATCATGGGGTCTTGTTTCTTATAATTTCGCTTGTCTGATAGTGATTAATTAATATAAAATATGTCAGGATGGTTTAGTGAAATATCAAAACAGCAAAGTGGATAAACACATATAGTGTAAATGAATCAGTAATTGAATAAATAATACAATATCAAATGATCAATATTTTATAGAAGGTCAGAAAAACAATTCGTCATTTCTTTGTAAGATATTATAAAGAGGTTTTAAAAGGGCTATGGTAAGATTCGCCTTGTTTATAATTGATGCTAGCTAAAACTAAATGTTAGTAAGAACGAGGAGGGGTTACTGTGCATTATGTACTACTTGAGATTCCTATTGTCATATATTCTATTACTCTAGGAATTAATTTATTATGATGTCAGGTTCACTAAATTCTAGGCATGTGATTAATATCACCCTGGCCTTGTTTTATACTGGAATAATTCTAAATGATGATCGATAATATGTATTTTTAGCTTGGAATCGAAATGTACTAATTTGATTTTTACTTCACGAAAGTTTGTATAATGAAGTTCAATAAAGAAAGAAAATCTAACACAAGTTAAAAAATAATTTTAGTTTAAAATATATATAATTTTGTAATATAAACATCAAAGGTGAAATATTTATGAATGATATTTTGTATTTGATAAAATATCAATGTTTGTATCTTCTTAATTTGTATTTTATATAAATTAATCTTTAAACATAAGTCAGTAAAATTATCAAAGTAAATATTAAATGTCACAACTGCAACTTCATTTCTTTGAAAAAATAGCAACTTCGCTTTTTAATTGAAAACAACACAGATTTTATTATTAAGATGTGAAAACATGAAAGCGTGAAAAATGTTATTCATATTGTTGATGAATATAATCGGAAGTTGTTGGTCTCTCCAATCAGTATATCTGTGACACGGGGGATAGTACATAAGCTTGATTATCCGGCCAACAAAAGTATGATCCCGATAACAGGGGTGTAACGCATGGCCCCTCAGACATTCAAGCCATGGAGGGGGTCATCACGGAGAGAAGGGAATCTAATTACAGATCATGTTTCAGTCAAAATTTATCTGTTATCAAACCACTTTTAATAGCACAAAAAAAAATTGAGTAAATAAATAAGAAACATTACGTAAATAATTTCCCGTATGATGTATGCTAATTAAATGGAGTTTGTACTGTATATGTCGACGGGATCACAATTCATACTACACACACACACGCACGGCACAAACATCGGTACAGTAGCAATAAATAACGGAAAACAAAAACACGTAGATCTGATGGAAAGGGAGAATTTTTGTTTCTTTTTACAATTACCGGGCGTTATAATTAGAGAAGGAGAAAACTATCATTTCTGGTTACATGTGTATGGCGACAGTATTATGACACGAGGAGAAGCATTACGAGCGACAAACTGTGAATTTTATCAAAACCAGAACAGTCTGTGTAGTTGACACTAATCTGTTTAAGACGGCGAGAAACGTATCGCCCAGTTTTACTTATAGAAACAGATGAGGTTAATTTACGGTATAATTGTTATCGTTGGTAGTACGATAAGTAGCCGAGAGGCTGATTAGGAAGGTGTGTGTGTCCAACCCGAGGGCTGGTACCGGTGATTAGGTAGGTGTGTAGGTTCTTCCCGGGGGACGGGCTCTGTGACACTCCATTGATAAGAACATATGATAAATATAGGACAATCTGTTAGCAGTACTCCGGGGACTTCTTGGTGGTTTATCCAGATTTATTCCTAAAACCCAGCGTGTCATTAGCTATAATTAATGTACCCCTTCCTAACAATTTCAAACACGTTTAGCAACCCTGCATAAATTTATATATAGTCAGCATGTAATTAGGCACTGCTTACGTTTATGAACAACTTTATCTATAAAATTCTAATTTTCTCTTTATTCTCATTAATTACACGTTTGAAAACAATTTATTTTCGTTAAAGGTAATTTTGTCTTAAAAACGTAAAATTAGATTTAAGAATCATATATTAAAGGAATTGTATAAATCCTCTAATCCTTCACATATTAACTAAAATAATTAAACATAGGGACACAAAGAAGATTTGAATGAGAAAAACTGACAAAGCATGAACAATCAATGATGCGGGGTTCCTGGTGTTTACATATTAATATAAAAAAACCGAATTGAAAGAAATAGAATTATAATCAACAAATATCAATATATAGAAAATTAAGAAAAATTGTAATAATCCCTTTTGTATGCTTACATATATTAAAATATATACTAGAGTATGTTAAGAAATATGTATTATTATAATTACAAGTATTTTCCTACTACAATGTATTTAACCCGGTAAATGATATGTTTTAATCACTATGCAATTGTTGTATGTATTTTATTTAAGCTACAGATACGTGTGGATACTATGTAGATATATTATAGTAGAATATCAACAAATGGTGCAATTCTTAATTTTACGGATAACATTTGCATTAATCATAACTATTTAAGATTATTTTCGTATCCTGTTTTTGTTTTAATTTCGTACACTTGAATTGATATTCGGGAAGTACAGTTGAGATATCTCTTGGCGTTTGAACGAGTGTGTCGGGACGTCACTATCACCATACAAAGTACAAGGTTATATAGTATGTTGACAATCCGCGAGTCTCACCGGCGCTGACCGCAGATTATAAGTGGCCACAACTCAAACGATAAACTAATAAGTTTTAAAGTGTATTAAACTACTCCTCTGATACCACACATCGTGTGAAACATGACGATCGACAGTCCTGATAATAGCATGTATTTAAGATAAAGGAAATATTTTTACCTCAAAATGACATCACGATAAAATAAGATAAAAAAATCAATCAAAATTTGACGGCTTTATGTTAAATTGCAAATTTTAATATATAATTTAATATACTGAGAATTTGTGATTATACAATTTTGTGTTTGAATTGAAACTAAACGGTTATTAATGTATAAACTGTATAAAGTACTGTATATTATTAACACAATAGAGACGATAATTAGAAGACTTGTGTTAATGATTCGCTAAGAGGTCGCTTTATTTATATGTTACACGGCTGTAAATGTCGATGTTGTATGACACTGATTTGTACCAGACTGGGCCACCCACACACAGACTTCACCAAGGGCTCTACAACAACATTCTCTCGGGGCTCAAATATACAACATAAAAAGGTAAAAAATATACAGACCTTCCGGATTTGGTGATGACCATCTCCGTACCAAGTTTATGGAATTGTTCCCACATATCCTTTCCTTCTAAGTCCACCTTCGGATCATCCTGGACATCTTGTTCCGGAGGTTCTAAACTCCGGATCGGTCTCGGGTGCATGTGATGAAGAAGATCCGCGGGGGTGAGGGGCGACCGAGCGACGGTCTGTTGTAGCTTTGGGAGGATTGAGGAGGGGACGCCCCCTGGGATGGGAAGGGACATGGATGACAGGTAATGCTGCTGCAACAGGGAGGTGTAATCCGATGGTCTGTGAAGCAGAAAAGGATTGTACGTCATGGCTAAATCCGGATTTGGTCCTTGGTAAATCATGTTTTTTAGGGGGAATACACCTGTACTAATTAAATGTTAGGACACCAGTATGTAAACACCACATTGGACCGTTGTCCGTATTCCTGTGCGATAGTGTATCCTTACTTCACCCGGTGTGTGGTCAAATAGCACGTTTCGTGTGTTTTAACATACTCCAAGTTAGTACTGAAGTATAGCCGCCTTCAGATATGGCATGTATACAGTAAACTATTTACTATCATATGTGTAGGAAGCCGTGATTGGTCACTTAACATGTTTCAGAACCAATCAGATCGCCAGGCAAAGTGCAGTTATGACAGGTCCACCTGCGATCAGGCCTTCAGTCGTGTCGGCGCCAGACCGAGCCTCTCCGTAATGTGTAGACCTGTCATGAAGCTCCGCCCCTTTTTCCCCTCTCCACTCGCTCTGTAAACATGTTTTAGTATCTACTCAGCACACACTTTCCATCGTAGAAAACACCACTGTGTTCTCAAATTATCACACAAACGAATTTTTGTCTTATGCGGTGGGATGTAACTTTTAGTCCACTTGTGGTCAGTAAATATGCACCGTTTCTATTTAAATGGGTTTTTTGTACACACCTAGAAGGTCTGGTGGTGATTTACACTTAAATTTGAATGATTGACAGGTTGGACCGTGGGATACTGTGACGTCACTCTCTGGGACGACTTTATTTCATATCATACGAATTTAACAATCAATTTAAAAAGATATATTTAAGAACAAAAATTTTTAAAAATACAAAAAAATACGTAAGGAACAGAAAAAAATAACACTCAAATCTGTAACAAAATCATAGCCGTTGTATATCTATGTATTAAATGAATCATCATAAAATCTAAAAATGAATTTTGAAAGTGGGCGTATCCTGTATGGCGCCTGTTAAATGACAGATGTAAGTGCGAGTGGTTGAGACAGTGACACGGAGAGGCGAACATGACGGGCGCCAGTCGGATGAGGAGCTTTACACACGCGGGTCGTGCTACCAAGTACGATCCTAACTCGCGCACACCGTCTAGATCCTCTCTCAGCTGACGAGGCTTACACCAACCAAAAGGAATAAAACACAATTTATTTATCATCATTTTCACGATGTTTTAGAATGTATTGATATGTGACTATCTTTTGTAAATATCTGTGAAAGTTTTTTTAGTTTGAATTTATTCGCGTGCCATTTTCGTGATAATGAAAATAAAAAAAAAATCGTGAAGTTAAACTCTTAAATGAAAGCCACACCTTTCTCCCTGTAATGAAATGATGTGATGGTTTATCAGCTGATCGGATATAGAACATATAAAGAGATAGTTAGAACGACCGTCCCGCTTTTGATCTCACTCTGTTTGTATGCATGTTTAAGATCGTTTAAAATAACAGATGGTTCAATCTTCTAGAATTAACACTTTGTTTTGAATAACTTTGGCGATTTACACAGACACATACAGGTTTTCGTCGCCGCCAAAACGCCACTAATATGCCCAAATTCGAGGGATTAGGCGATTTGGTTGATAAAGGTGTTTTCCCTGTCCAAGGCGATATCGCAGGACATGGTGCTGATTATTCAGGCAGGTATAAACCAATTATCTTACTTACGAAAATAATCGCCCCTGAACCGTTGAAGTGTTAACGCAATTAAAAACTATAGCAAGAAATAGCCTAGGTGTGAGTCTGTATTGTGGAGGGATCAGACCAGAGTCTACATGACTTAGGTCTGTGCAGAGAGGCGCCACTCGACCACACTCCTCCGTACACCTTTTATGCTTGTTCAATTTCGCACAAAACAAAACAGTGAAAGTTAGGTATTTTGATCAACGGAATCACCAATGGCTGCGAGGGAGGTTTGCTATAGTTATGTAAGGAGCCGTGGTATGTGGACTACCGCCGAGGACTTAGGGGTTTATGACTCTCACCTTCAGGGGGCTACTGGACAAGCGTTAGTCAGACGTTCTCTTTTAACTTTTGTTAAGATGAAAAATGTCCTTCACTGATAAATATACACTCTCTATGGAAAAAAACAAAACAAAGCGAAAAATATAACACGGGACAATAATGATAATAGTGATAATTTGTCTAAACCATAACAAACACTTTTGTTTATCAATATTTTATTTAACATTTCTCGTTTGACAATGTTTAAGGTCACTCATGCCTTTATTACATATCTGTAATTTTATCAGTATGAAAATACGCTAGATAGTTCACATGTTTTATATTTGTATTTACATCACTTCGTTCATAAGATAATTATGAAAAGATATATATATATATATATATGTGTGTGTGTATTTAGAAAAATGATTTTAATAATGGCTATGTTAGCCTTCTGTAGAGACCCTACATTGTCTTTGATTATGATGTGTTTACTTTACACATATCAGATTATTAAGCACGCAGGAGGTGAAAGCTTCATTTCACTACAGAGGAGAGATATCCAGTTCTCACATTTCTGACCAAAAATAATTATGTTCCCCACTCAGGACAGCTATCAAAGGAACAGAGGAAGAGGGAGTTTGTCATATTTTCATTATTCTGTCGAGTTAATTGCTAGAATAAAACATGAGGGCGGACCTGAAGGCCGGAACACAGACTGGGTAACCGACTCTGTGACAGACCCAGGTTCATCAGACTCCTCTAAATGATGAGAATATTCGAGAAAGTCGGTTTCAGGGTGATACAAAAGACACATAGTGTGTTATGTATTTGTATTTTCATCACTTTGACTGTTGGTATATATCACGAGTGTTTAGCCTAACGTAGCTTCTGGCTAAAGCTTTGTTTAGTTTAGAGTCACCCATTCATAACATGGCGATTCATTAATAACAGTAATCTATTCACTGTAATATCTTACTGTTTGTTCTTTCTTTCATTTCGTTTATTCAAATAAATTAATCCCCTTTTAAGCCACATAATTCATTCATTCATTTATTCATTCATTCATTGTGATAGATAATTTATACATTTCTGTATCTTTGTACTTGGTGATTACTGTATATCTAGTTTGCAACTGAGTTTTGAAACGCTATGTAAGACTATTGATAATTAGTAATAATGTTTTGCTGAACTGAATCTGTTATTTTCACATTCTATTATTACCATATTTTTATTCGTTTGTACTTGGAGACTAATAGTTAAAGCCATACAACTTTGCCGTATGCGTTTTTTGTCACTATAGGAATCAGTTATATATAATTATCATTATAATGTCTGAGGTAGTGTGTTTTGTCAATATCCATATTGTATGTTTAAATAACTGTGTGATCTGTGACACAAATTACGTTTTCTATATGATCAATTGTGTTTTGTATATGGTTATTATGTTTTGTATATGGTTCACTATGTTTTGTATATGGTTAATTGTGTTTTTGTAAATAGTTAACTGTGTTTTTTACATGGTTAACTGTGTTTTGTACATGGTAACTTATGTTTTGTATATGGTTAACTGTGTTTTTGTATATGGTTAATTGTGTTTTTGTATCTAGTTAACTGTGTTTTGTACATGGTTAACTTTTTTTGTACATGGTAAATTATGTTTTGTATATAGTTAACTGTGTTTTGTATATGGTTAATTGTGTTTTGTATATAGTAAACTGTGTTTTGTATATGGTTAACTGTGTTTTTGTATATGGTTAACTGTGTTTTGTATATAGTTAACTGTGTTTTGTATATGGTTAACTGTGCTTTGTATATGGCTAATTGTGTTTTGTATATGGCTAATTGTATTTTGTATATGGCTAATTGTATTTTGTATATGGCTAATTGTGTTTTGTATATGGCTAATTGTGTTTTGTATATGGCTAATTGTGTTTTGTCTCTAGTTAACTATGTTTTGTACATGGTGAGTCTTCACAGTCCTAATTAAATACTGGGATTTATACATGTAATTCTGATTTATGGATCACGTGATTTAATAATATGATAAGAAAAAAACTAACAACAGCTTACCTTACAATAATATAAAAACACGTTGAAAGTTCTTTTCCCATTTTCTTTGAAATATTATATATGAATATATTATAATATATCATATTATTGTGTGTTATAACCAAAGCTAAAACACAGTTCCCCTTCTGTGAGACTGAGATTAATTCCTGGTTTAACTTTTTTGAAGAGACATGTCGGCTTAAAATGAAGATGAGTATAACGCATATTATATGACTATTGTATAGCACTATATATGCATAAGCATTTTCTGTATAACAAGTCGGATAGCTCAAGGCGTGTTATAAATACGGTAATCGTATTTTTGATGACAAGTTTACAACATGCCTAGCAACATCAACTAAAGATCATATATCAATCAAGGTCATGTTACACTGTTTCTTATATACCTACTGCAAAAATATCTCATTTTGAAAATGTACAATTATTATAATCATTTCATATAGTCATTTCTGCATAGCTTTTTCTAAAGACTCCCAGTGACTATGAAGTAATAATGTTTTGTTTCATTTGAGGCGATGTTATTATACTTACCGAAAGATTTATTTTATTTTTTTTATTATGGTGTCTACTCTAATGCTCAGTATCTTGATTGAGTCTTTGATTTAGACTCTATCGTTCAGTATCAAGTTGGAATTGTTGGTATACACTATAATGTTCTGTATCTAGGTTGAATTGTTGGTATACACTCTAATGTTCAGTATCTTGGTTGAATACTTGGTATTCACTCTAATGCTCAGTATCTAGGTTGAATACTTGGTATTCACTCTAATGCTCAGTATCTAGGTTGAATTGTTGGTATACACTCAAATGTTCAGTATCTAGGTTGAATTGTTGGTATACACTCTAATGTTCAGTATCTAGGTTGAATTGTTGGTATACACTATAATGTTCAGTATCTAGGTTGAATTGTTGGTATACACTCTAATGTTCAGTATCTAGGTTGAATTGTTGGTATACACTATAATGCTCAGTATCTAGGTTGAATTGTTGGTATACACTCTAATGCTCAGTATCTAGGTTGAATTGTTGGTATACACTCTAAAGCTCAGTATCTAGGTTGAATTGTTGGTATACACTCAAACGTTCAGTATCTTG